ATCGGCGGCTCTCTCTGGTCGCCAGATCGTTCCGCCCTGGCCGACCCCGGGGCCACTGGCGGCGTTCAAGCTTGAACACCCGCGGCGGAGTCGCTGCCGCGGCAGCACGACACGAGCCTACCGTGCGGCCGCACTCGGCGGCGAGCGAGGGGGGGAAGTGAGAAATGGAAGGCATTCTGAGGAAGCGGCGGGTTTAGCAGAAGGCCTCCGGCCTTCTGAGAGGTCTTTTCTGCGTCTTCGGAAAAGGCTCAGAAGACTTCTCGGAAGGCTGGGGGGCTTCCGAGCCTTCTGAGAAGGCCCGCTCCCTCTCACCTCCCCCCCGGCTCGCCGCCGAATCCCGTGGTCATGTGCATCCGTCCTCGCCACGGAGCCCGTTCCGGACAGCTCGAAAGCAGGGCAAGGGCCCTCCGATGGCACCTGCCGCCCGCCCGCGCGCGTGCAGCTCCTCCAGGCGCCGGCGCAGCGAGGCGGCCTCGTCCCGCAGCCTCGTCGACGCAGCCTCTCGCGGGCCCTCGCCTCTCCAACGGGCACAAGAAGGAGAAAGAGGACGATCGATCGATCGACGAAGGCGATGAGAACGAGGGCGACGACGACAGCGGCGGCGGCGGCGGCGGCGACGGCGGCGACGACGACGACGACGACGACGACGACGACGACGACCACGAGCTCGACGACGACGACGACGACGACGACGACGACGACGACGACGACGACGACGACGGCGGCGGCGGCGACGGCGGCGGCGAAGGCGACAAGAACGAAGGCGCGACCAGGCGCCCCACGATCGCGGACCGCATGCGCCACAGGGTCTGCAGCGCTCGGGCCACATCCCATCGCGTCCACCGCTCAAGGGCCAAGCGCAGCCTGGCCTCGCTCTCGCTCGCAACGGCACGATTCTCCGATCCGAGCAGCGGTGTCCCACTGCAGTAATCCAGAACGACCCTACGCTCGCTGTCCAGGCGGCCAGCAAGCCACAGAAAACCACAGCCGAATCCGACCGCCACCCTCCCCGCCACCGCCTTCAGGCGTCTCGCCTCCTCGCCCTCCCGGAGCCAGCGCGCCTCGCGTCGGCGCGGCGGGGCAGGGACGACGACGCGGGCGAGGAAGACGGGAAGGAAAGACGAGGAGAAGGAGGAGAAGGCAGAGGAGAAGGAGAAGGAAGAGGAAGAGAAAACTCCACCAGTTACAAGGAGGGAGGGCGATTCCTTTTCAAAATGAGGCTCTCGCCTTCACGCCGCGCGCATTAGCCTTGAAAGCTGGACGAAGTTGCAAGGATGCGGGGAGTATGAAAAGTGGGTTCTCGTCGAAAGGGCCGCGCACGTTCGTCCTGCAAGCTTGCAACAGCAAAGGGGGGGGGCGATGGGCTTTCAACCTGCAAAGGCGGCTCTCGACTGATATTTATTCTACAAGTGTGGAGATGTTGTAAACTTGTGCGGATGCAGGGCCCCCCCCCGCCTGACACACTCTCAAGACTGACGGACCAGAAATGCAGACTGCCGTCAACAGTACACGAACGGGGAGAGGGAGAGGGGGAGGGTGCTCCCTGCTCGGCACGGGGCTCTCGCTGGACACACCGCCAAGCAGTATGGTCCTGCTTGCCCGCACTCCTTGTCACTCGCCAGATGGACGCAAGGCATCACACTCGCAGCCATCCTGTGGTGCTGGGTCCCCGTTTTGAGGAGACAGCGCCCCGCGTCCTCCTTCCTCCTCCTCCTCCTCCTCCTCCTCCTCCTCCTCCTCCTCCTCCTCCTCCTCCTCCTCATCATCCTCCTCCTCCTCCTGAATGACACAATATGAATACTACTCTCCTCTCTCCCCTGGTGACGTCCGGGAAATATTCGGCCCCCCTTCCGCGCACTGGTACTTACACTGGATTCCTGGGTTTTCGCTTGGTTTTTTCAAAATGCTGCTCTCGCTGAAGCGCTGGCCTCCTTTTCGGGGTACCGTTCGTTCCGAATCGTGCTCCAGCTGTAGAGCTGGCCTCATTTCCGCGCTTCCGCTCGTTCCGAATCGTGCTCCCGCTGCAGCGCTGGCGACATAATTTCCAGCCCCATACCACGGCATGGGTTTCGGTTCTTCCAAATAGGCCCCAAAAATCTGTTAAAAAATGCAACCCGAAAAAACCATCGGAAGTGATTAGACATTCGGTGTCGATTCGTTGATTTTTGGGGCCCCCCCACTTTGGGGCGTCGCCACGCCATGCTATGTCAGGCTACGCGTCCTCCGAATCGTGCAGCCGCTGGAACGCTGGCCTCATTTCCGCACTTCCGCTCGCTCCGAATCGTGCTGCCGCTGCAGCGCTGGCGTTATCATTTCCAGCGCCATGCCACGGCATGGTTTTGGGTCCTTCCAACTCGACACCAAAAATCTGGAAAATGGCCCACCGAAAAAACCATCGGAAGTGATTTCACATTCGGTGTCGATTCGTTGATTTGGGGGGCCGCAGAAGCACACACCCCTTCGTCGGGCCCCGAGGACTTCAAAAACTATCACCTGGCTGGAAAATGCCGATCCGACTGGACCTCGTGCGGGGTCCAGGGGCCCAGTGTGAGCCGATTGTTCAAGGAAGCCAGAACCATCGAGCCTGACAGCCCGCCGCATTATTCCCTGACATCCGTCCGCACCCGCCGCAGCTTCCCCTGCCGCCGCCGCCGCCGTCGTCGTCTGCGTCGTTGTCGCCGTCGGTAATTTCTGTGCGTTCCCTGGAGCTTCCCGAAATCTTCGGGCCATCTGCCACGCCTCGTGCAGAGCTGTCCGGGGAGCCCAGGGAGACTTGGAAGGGAGCTCGCTCGGGGAACGCCAAGGCAGCGCGTCGAAAGGAGGGGGGCCTTACACTACTACAGAACCCCTACCAGACGGCACTTGGCAGTCGAAAGCGCCCACATCAGGCAGGCACGGTTGCGCACGACATGGAGTCAGGATTCCAGACAAGTATTCTCTTTTCGTACACGGGCAATTTACCCTCCAAGGCATCCGGTGCCATGCCATGGCATGCAGTGCGATGTTGCGTTGTACTCCGCTGTGCGATGCCATGCTTTGCGATGTTACGCTTTGTGGTACAATGCTACACTACGCAATGCCAAGCCATGCTCTGACATGCTATGCTCTGCCGCACTCTTTTACACCGTGCTATGCCGTGCTTTCCCATGCATCGCAAACCCTCGGGGGATCATTGCCTTGTTGACATCAGCCTGTGCGCATAAAGAGGAGATCTGCGCCATGGTAAGGGTTGGGAGGGAGGGGTACGACGACAGATATGACGCGAGCGCACCTAGCTTGCCCTGCCCCCTCCCCTCACCCCCCATCCCAGATCCCATCCCTGCCTTTACCCTCCGCGTGTCACTGTTTCGGCACGCCCCTTGTACGCTTCGTGGCCCCATAGGGGGCTCCACCGAAAGCTCCAGTGGCAGCGCCCACACGCGGTTCCAACCTCTATTTCGGCACACCCCTCACACGCTTCGTGGCTTCATAGGGATCTCCACAGAAGACCCCAGGGGCAGCGCCCGCATGCAGTGCCACCCTCGATTTCGGCACACCGCTCACACGTTTCGTGGCCCCATAGAGAGCTCCACCGAAGGCCCCCTGGGCAGCGCCCACATGCGGTTCCACCCTCTATTTCGGCGCATCCCTCACACGCTTCGTGGCTTAATAAGGACCTCCACCGAAGGCCCCAGTGGCAGCGCCCGCATGCGGTCATGTCGGCAAACCCCACACACGTTGCGAGGCCATATAGGGAGCTCCACCGAAGGCCCCAGCGACAGTGCGTACATGCGGTTCCACCCTCCATTTTGGCGAACCCTCAGACGCTTCGTGACACCACAGGGAACTCTACCGAAGGCCCCAGTGTCAGCGCCAACATGCGGTTCCACCTTCATTTCGGTGCAAGCTTTACACGTTTCGCTGCCCCACCTAAGGCCCCAGCGGCAGCGCCCGGATGCGGTTCCACCTTCAATTTCGGTGAACCAATCACACGCTTGGGTGCCCCAAAGGGAACTCCACCGAAGGCCCCAGCGGCAGCACCCGCATGCAGTTCCATCCCCCATGTTTGCGAACCCTTCACACGCTTCGTGGCTCCATAGAGAGCTCCACCGAAGGCCCGAGGGGCAGCGCCCGCATGCAGTTCCAAGCCAATTTCGGTGCACCCTTCACACGTTTCGTGGCCCCATACGGAGCTCCACAGAAGGCCCCAGTGGCAGCGCCCGCTTGCGGTTCCACCACCATCTCGGCGAACCCTTCACATGCTTGGTGGCCCCATGTTCCACCGAAGACCCCAGTGGCGGCGCCCACATGCGGTTCCCCCCTCCATGTCGGCGAACCCTCACACGCTTCGTGGCCCCATGGGGTTCTTCACCGAAGGCCTCGGTGGCCCTGGTGCGGCCCCCCTCCCTTTATTTCCCTTTCCTCGCGATGCTCGAAGGACCCAGGGGCAGCGCCCGCATGTCGACCCCGCCCCATGTCGGCACACCCTTCACGCGCTTCGTGGCCCCATTGGATGATCCACCGAAGGCGATACTCGCAACGACGGCACTCACAACTGCATATGGTTGGGTCCTTCGACAAGCTGACTTTCAAAGCGGGCCTCTTGGCTGACTTGCATGCCGAACAGAGTGCTCGTCTTGCAAAAAGGCCCCCTTCTTCGCAGTGGAAACTGATGTTTATAAAAACTGATCGGAGACATTGGGACGGAAAAATGTTTTGCCACATCGTTGATTCATCATGAGCTTGCCCTGGTCAGTTTCCGCCTCCTCCTCCATCCCATTTCCTTATAGATAACTCCTCCCTGTTGCACCCCGAGGCCCGTCGAAAGGACGGGCCGTGCGTTTCGCCTGAGAACTCCTCACTCATGATTCTGAAGCTTACACATTTACAACAGTTCAACAAATTTTGGGCGGGTCGTTTCCAACATGATCGACCCACGAACCCGGAAAGGAATATAGAAATGTAGTGCACTGCAACATTTCAAAGACACCTGATTGGGCGACGGGCACATGCAATGCTGAATGTATCGATGATGATGTACTGTGCCGAGGGCTGTGCTGTGCTACGCCGTGCTGAACTACGATGTGCCATGCCGCGATTGTGCTCTATATAGCGTTGTGGATCGAGTCCTCCCTGGCATCCGAGTCCTCACCGAACTGATCTGGAGCGTAAGCTCGAGCTGCCTGAGCAGATGGTAGCTGCCCCAGAACTAATCGACAGAGGGAACATGCCAGGAGGACGCGCCGCGGAACGTCCCAAGGGACGCGCCAGGCGACGTGCCAGGGGACGTGCCATGGGCACGCACCGCGGGACGTGCCAAGGGGACGCGCTACGGAACGTGCCAATGGACGTGCCGAGGGACGTGCCAGGGGACGCGCCGCGCGACGTGCCAGGTGGACTCGCCACGGAACGCGCCAAGGAACGTGCCAAAGTGCATAGTTGAGTGTATCGATCTTGATGTACCGTGCCGACGGCTGTGCTGTGCTACGCCGTGCTGAACTGCGATGTGCCATGCCGCGATTGTGCTCTATATAGCGTTGTGGATCGAGTCCTCCCTGGCATCCGAGTCCTCACCGAACTGATCTGGAGCGTAAGCTCGAGCTGCCTGAGCAGATGGTAGCTGCCCCAGAACTAATCGACAGAGGGAACATGCCAAGAGGACGCGCCGCGGAACGTCCCAAGGGACGCGCCAGGCGACGTGCCAGGGGACGTGCCATGGGCACGCACCGCGGGACGTGCCAAGGGGACGCGCTACGGAACGTGCCAATGGACGTGCCGAGGGACGTGCCAGGGGGACTCGCCACGGGACGCTCCGCGGAACGTGCCAGGCAACATGCCAGGCTGCAATGCTAAGGGTATCGATATTGATGTACCGTGCCGAGGGCTGTGCTGTGCCTGGGCGACCTGGACACGTGAAAACACCCGTTTCGCTCAAGACGTTGTCAGCACATCCTCATGCTAGACATCCGCCTGGGCAACCTGGACACGTGCAAACAAGCGTCTCGCTCGAGACATCCTCAACAAATGCTCATGCTAGACATCCGCCTGGGCGACCTGGACACGTGAAAACAAGCCTCTGGTTCGAGACATCCTCAACAAATCCTCATGCTAGACATCTGTCTGGGCCACCTGGAGGCGTGAAGCCAAGCGTCTCGCTCGAGACATCCTCAAGACCTGGGCACGTGAAAACAAGCATTTTACTTCAGAGATCCTCTGAATTCTGGTCCCCAGGAGAAGACAATCTATCACACAAAACAAGCGTTTCGCTCGAGACATCCTCAACAAATTCTGAAAAACTAGCGTTTCGCTCGAGACATCCTCAATGTTTAATTCGCCGGCCCTACGCGACCTCGTTATTTATCGCAAAAGAAATTCGCCGGCCCTACAGCCGTCAAAACCGGGGGAAACCAACTAAAAGAGAACCCTGGGCTCAGGCCCTTTCCGGGAAAATGTGGCTCTCGCATGACAACCGCCGCGCACATTCGTCTGTTAAATTTGCCAGAGTTTTACGGATTGAGGGCCGTTCGTTTTCAAAATGTGGTTCTCGCCTGAGCGCCGCGCACATTTCACTGCATGCAGACGTGCTGCAGAAGATTTGCACGTGGATTTCTGCCAATGCAAAACCCCGAAACGGCCAGCGAAAAACGAAGTGAATTCCGAGAGGTTTGTTTGAGTCTTCATTCCGGGCCCAAAAAACATCCGCACTAAATGCACCTCGAAATCTGGAACGAAATTATCCAGGCCACTCTGGGCCCATCCTATGTTTTCTAAAACGAAATCCAGTCTGCGACGTTGGCGCCATGACACATGTGTCTCTGAAACCTAGCAAGAGTTTCACGATTGATTGGAGGACGGGACATTTCCAAAACGTGGCTCTCGCCTTAGCGCCGCGGCTCCCTATGGGGCCACGAAACGTGTGAGAGGTGTGCCGAAACGAGGGTGAGAGGAGGAGGGAGGGGGCAGCGGGAGGAGGAGGAGGAGTGAAGCTGGGCGCCGTCTCGTCAAAACGAAGACCCAACACCAGAGGATGGTTGGGAATTAATGTCGAACCTTCGGGCCCAAGACGCCCCCAGGAGGCCCCCAGAGGCCCGCAAGAGGCCGCCAGAATGCCTCGAGAGGCCCCGAGAGGCCCCCAAGAGGCCCCCTAAGGCCCCTACGAGGCCCAAAGACTGTCTCCAAGACGCCCAGAGGCCTCCAAGATGCCTTCAAGACGCGCCCGAAGAGACCCAAAAGCTGCCTCAAAGATGCCTCCAAGACGCTCAGTTCTGAACACAAGTGTTGCAAAACAAGTGGCACGTGCGCCATTGCTTTTGCATACAAAGGAAGGGGGAGGGTCGGAGGCGTGTGCCGTGCCGAAACAAAAGGGGTCGGGGTGGAGGGGCGCGCTGGCTTGTGAGTGGGTGGGTGGGGGGGGCGTACTAAAGGGGTCGGGGCGGGGGGGCGCGCTGGCTGGTGGGTGGAGGGGATGCGGAGGGGGCGCGCGGGGCGCGCGGGGCCGTGCCGAAATGAAAGGGTCGCGCTGGCTGGTAAGTGGGGGGAATGCGAAGGGGGGGGCGGGGGGGGCGTGCCGAAATAAAAGGGTCGGGGCGGAGGGGCACGCTGGCTGGTGGTGGGGGGATGCGGGGGGGAGGGGGGGGGGGGCCGAAATCAAGGGGTCGGGGCGGAGGGGTGTGCCGTGCCGAAGTAGAGGGGTCGGGGCGGATGGGCGCGCTGGCTGGTGGGTGGGGGGATGCGGAGGTGGTGTGCCGTGCCGAAATAATGGGGTCGGGGCGGGGGGGCGCCGTGCCGAAATAATGGGGTAGGGGCGGAGGGGTGTGCCGTGCCTAAATAGACAGTGTCGTGGCGGAGGGCGCGCTGGCTGGTGGGCGGGGGGGATGGGCTTCAGTGTCGCAGCGAGCAGTGCGATTATCGCCTTGCTCGTGTGTTCTGGAATTTGAACGATGTGTCGGACCCGAGCGCTGGATTGCTTGCGGGAATGGCGAAGAGCGGTTCAGCCCACCTTGCATGCCGAAAGAAAGGCGTCGCGGCGGAGGGGTGTGCCGTGTCGAAATAAAAAGGGGTCGGGGCGGAGGGTGCGCGCGGGGGGGGGGGGGGCGTGCCGAAATAAACGGGTCGGGGCGGAGGGGTGCGCTGGCTGGGGGTGGCGGGATGCTGCCGTGCCGAAAGAAAGGGTCGGGGCGGGGGGGCGCTGCTGGTAGGTGGGGGGGATGCGGAGGGGGTGTGCCGTGCCGAAATAAAACGGGTCGGGGCGGAGGGTGTGCCGTGCCGAAATAAAGGGGTCGGGGCGGAGGGGAGGGGACGCGCGGGGGGGGGGGGGGGCGAAGTAAAGGGGTCGGGGCGGAGGGGGCGCGCTGGCTGGTGGGTGGGGGGATGCGGGGTGTGTATGCCGTGTCGACGTAAACGGGTCGGGGCGGTGTGGCCCGTGCCGCGGGGCGGAGGGGTGTGCCGTGCCGAAAAAAAGGCACGAAGCGGAGGGGCACGCTGGCTGGGGGGGGGGGATGCGGAGGCCGTGCCGCGGAATGCGAAAAAATAAAAATTGGGGCGGAGGGGTGTGCCGTGCCGAAATAAAAGGCACGGGCGGAGGGGCGCGCTGGCTAGCGGGCGGGGGGGGATGCGGAGGGGTGTGCCGTGCCGAAATAAACGGGTCGGGGCGGAGGGGTGTGTCGTGCCGATATAAAGGGGTCGGGGCGGAGGGGCGCGTTGGCTGGTGGGTGGGGGGGATGCGAAGGGGGTGTGCCGTGCCGAAATAAAGGGGTCGGGGCGGAGGGGTGTGCCGTGCCGGAATGAAGGGGTCGGGGCGGAGGGGCGCGCTGGCTGGTGGGGGGGGGGGATGCGACGGGGGTGTGGAAGGGGTTTGCCGTGCCGGAATAAAGGGGTCGGGGCGGAGGGGTGTGCCGTGCCGAAATAAAGAGGAGTGGGCAGAGGGGCGCGCTGGCTGGTGGAATGTATGGGTGATGGAGGGGGTGCCGTGCCGAGATAAAGTGGTCGGAGCTCTAGACACCCTGTGCAAGATAATAAATTGCTTCCCCATGATAATACATGTTCAGCCGTCTTGGGGGTCCTCCAAGAGCACCCCCCAAAAGAAACTGCTACCAAGAACCTCCAAGACGCTTAGTTCTGAAAGCTCAGTTCTACATCGGTTCGGAGACCCTGCCAAAGCCACGTCATGACCATCGCCTGCCACGCTGGTCTGCCATGCCGGTCAGTCGACCTAGACACCGCCTCAGGCGTATGATGGATCTTGTGGGCCGTCGAGGGATCTGGGGGCTATCTTCGGTTATTTGGTGGCCTCTTGCGAGCTCTTTTAAGAGCTGTTCGGAGCCTGCTGGGACCCCCGTGTAGGATTCTTGATCCTTCTTGGACTTTCCGGGCAGGTCTCGAGAGTCTACGCGAACTCTCTGGGGCCATCTTGGTGCCATCTGGGGCCCAGGACAATATGGGACAATCTGGGATACTCTGGACAATATGGGAGACTCTGGCCCACAGCTGCCTTGCCTGCCTCGCCCCGCTGCTGCCTCGCTACGTCGCTTCCACAAGCGTGGTGGCGGATATGCGCGGCAGCGCCACTGGGTATGTGATATGAGCTTTGTAATGTCAGCCACGTGGAGCAACATATGTGGCGCAATCTAGATGATGCGAGCTATGAGATTCAAGCTATGTGGTGAAATCCAAATAATAAAATGTGCGCAGTGCAATATATGCAGCATGAGCTAAGCAGTGTACGCTATGTGTTGCAATCCAGGTGGTATGACCTATGAGCTGTGAGTTATACGGTATAAGCTATGTGGTGCACTCTATGTGGTACGAGCTACGAGGTGTAAGGTGAGCAGTGCGATTTAAATGATGTGAGCTATGTAGCGCACGCACGGTGCGCTCACAAGGCGGCCACGGGCGGCAACGTGGCGAAACCTCGCCAGACCCACCTAACGCACGAGGCGGCCACGAGGCGGCCACGGACGGCAACGTGGCAAAACCTCGCCAAACCCGCAAAAGGTGGCCACAAGGCGGCCACGGACGGCAACATGGCAAATACTCGCCGGACCCACCTAGCGCACGAAGCGGCCACGAGGCGGCCACGGACGGCAGCGTGGAAAGTCCTCGCTGGACCCACCGAGCGCACGAGGCGGCCACGAGGCGGGCACGGGCGGCAACGTGGAAAATCTTAGCCAGACCCAACCGTTTCCTGTGGAAGACAAATAAGAATCCCTAATTACAGGCACTGTTTGGGGAACCTTCCAAACTGTCGTGATCAGACTCTTGAAATGTGAAACAGCCACACGGATGGAGGGCGCATCCTTGTCAAACTGAGACACTCGCTTGGGACGTCCTCAGCTCTTACAACAAGCATGTAAGTTTCGCAGCAGTTACACAAACCAAGGCCGACTCCTTGTCAAAATGAGGCCATCGCTGGACACTCCCTGGAACATCACGATCATTCATTATGACGAAAGAGTGTAGAATGGCTCCGCTTTGAAACAGGGTTCTTGCCTGAATGCTAAGACCATGGGACGCTCGCCCTTGAAGGGGGCGCTTCCACCTATCACAAGTAATGTTGTAGGGACTTACGAAAAGGGGACCCAGGACAGCAGGGTAGATTGCAGCATCGTTGATGCATACTGGGTTGGCCGAAGGCGAGGTCTCACTGGAACAGCTGTCGACTCAGCTCAAAAACGTCTGTCACTGCTGGGGTTGGTTCACCAGCGCAGCTCATGCACTGCTGACTGGCACCCCCACCTTGAATTATCAACTTCGATTTGTCGCTGCCTTACGCCGATCTTCCGTCTGCGGAACCGCCCTCGTCTAACTTCCGCCGACGTCCGCAAGCCTCCCGCCGAGGGCAAGAACTCAAACCTCCGTCTCCTCGCAGAGGCCACAAACGTGGGGCGAGCTAGACGTGCCCACACAAGATGGAAGCACGAAAGCCTCGAGGGACTTGAGCAGCGGCTGGACTCCAGCAATCTCGCTCACTCGGATGTTCGGGTCCTCGACCAACTCCCCGCCGTCGAGCCGGCTCCATGGGGCGGTCGACCTCCCCCTTGTCGCCTCTCTCTCTCTCTCTCCGCCTCCCCCACCCTGTTGCCGCCATCCTCCCTCCCCGTCCTGGCTCTGGTGCTGGTGTTCCTGCTGATACTGCTGGTGGTCATCATCACCACCACAAGTATCAGCATCATCATCACCACCACCAACCACCACCACCATCATCATCGCTATCATCATCATCATCATCATCATCATCATCATCAGCAGCAGCAGCATCAGCACTATCATCATTATCACCAGCTCAAGCACCAACACCATAACCATGACCATCATGAACTTCTCATCAGCATCGTCATCGTCATGATCACCATCGCCACCATCATCATCAACAACATCATCAGCAGCAGCATCATCCATCATCAGCAGCAGCAGCACCAGCATCATCAGCAGCAGCAGCATCGTCATCATCAGTTTCAGCATCATCATCAGCAGCAGCAGCATCATCAGCATCATCATCATCATCATCAGCATCAGCAGCAGCCTCATCATCACAATCAATCACCACTACCATCATCATCACCATCAGCATCATCACCATCACCATCACCAGCACCAGCACCAGCACCAGCACCATAACCATAACCATGAACATCATCAAGTTACCATCGTCGTCGTCATCGTCCTTATCATCATGATCACCATCGCCAGTTTATCCTCGTCATCATCATCAGCAGCAGCATCATCATCCTCATCATCCTCATCACCATCATCATCAGCAGCAGCAGCATCATCATGACCGCTGTCGCTGATCCTCATCTTCCGCCTGCTCCCGCTGATGCTGATGCTGCCGCCGCTGGTACTCAACCTCCTCGTCCACCGCTCGCCCCCAGCTCCTGCGCACCCGCTCCATAGCTAGCTCTGCCGGCACTTCTAAACAGTTCCACTCTGGGCTCGGCGCTCCCTGGGGGGGGACATGCGCCCTCCATGACGAGACGCACGTAGATGCCGATAGCGCTGGGTAACTGCGAGGGAACCAAGGCTGGAGGGGACGGCCTAGCACCTTTTCACGCAAAGTCATAGGAAACTCAACAAGACTCAACAAGCCCCAACAACCATGCGGCCAACATACCTTGAAATTCAGCACGGCTTGAAATGAGCCTGGCGAAGGACCCAACCATATGCAGTTGTGAGCACCACATTGTGGCCATCACTTTCGTTGGAGCTCCCGATGGGACCACGAAGCGTGCGAGGGGTGTACCGAAATGGGTGGGGAACCGCATGCGGATTGCGCCGCGGAGGCACTCGGTGGAACAACCTATGGGGGCGCGAAACGTGTAAGGGGTGTGCCGGAATGAGTGGAGATCCGCATGCCAACTGCGCTACGGAGGCACTCGGTGGAGCTCCCCATGCGACCTCGAAACGTGTAAGGGGTGTGCCGAACTGGGCGTGATGCCCGCATGCGAACTGCGCCACGGGGCACTCGGTGGAGCTCCCTATGAGGCCACGAAACGCTTGAGGGGTGTGCCGAAACGGGGGTGACGCCCACATGCGAACTGGCTCCCTATGGGGCCACGAAACATGTGAGAGGTGTACCGAAACGGGGTGAAAGAAGGAGGAAGGGGGCGGCGGGAGGCTTCAAAACGAGGACACAACACCACAGGATGGTTGGGAAAAGGTGTGGGTCACATGCCAATCGAGATTCATCCAGAAGTCAACCACACCCACTCAGGCACGTTGCCAGCCAACCAGCAAGCCAGCAAGTCAACCGACCGGCCACCCAGCTAGCCAACCAGCCCAGCAAACAGAAGTCAGCCAGAAGCCAACAGCAAGCCAACCAGAAATTCACCAGAAGTCAACCAGATGCCTGCCAGACAGCCATCCAAGCAACCAGTCAGCGAGCGAGCCAATCAACCAAGCCAGCCAGCCAGCCAGTCAGTCAGACAACCAGCAACCCGACCAAGTCAGCCAGCCAGCTAGCCAACCTGTCAGCCAAACCTAGAGTCAACCAAAAACCAGCAGGAAGAAAACCAGGAACTGAGCAGAGGACCAATGCCAACCAGCCGGCCAGCCAACCAGCCAGCCAACCATCAAGCCAACCAGCCAGCCAACCAAACAGCCTGCCAACCAGGCCAGCCTGCCAACCAGGCCAGCCGCCATCAAACCAGACGGCCAACCAGCTGTCCAACCGCCAGCCAACCACCCAACCAACCAGCCAATCAGCCAGACGGCCAGCCACCCAGCTAGCCAACCAGCCACCACCAGATGCATGCCAGATAGCCAGCCAAGCAGCCAGCCAGCCAAGCAGCAAGCAAGCCACTCAGCCAGCCAGCCAACCAACCAAGCCAGCCAGCCAGCCAAACAGTCAACCAACCAGTTACCCGACCAAGCCAGCCAGCCATTTAGTCAACCGTCCAGCCAAAACTAAAGTCACCCAAAGTCAGCAGGAGGATAACGAGGAACTGAGCAGGAGACAAATGCCATCCAGCCAGCCAACCAGCCAGCCAACCAACCTGTCAGCTAATCAGCTTGTCAACCAAGTCAGCCGCCAGCAAACCAGACGGCCAATCAGCTGGCCAGCCGACATCGAGCCATCCAACCAACCAACCAGCCAGTCAGCCAGCAAGCTGGCCAGCCATCCAACCAGCCAACCAACCAAGCAGCCAACCAACCAGCCAGCCCCCAAACCAGCCACCTAACCAGCCAGCCAGCAAGCCGAGCAACCAACCAGCCAGCCCACCAAAAACACAACCAGCTGATTAGCCAGGCAGCCAGTTAATCAGCTAACCATCCACTGTTTGGTTGCTTGGTTGGCTGTTGGTTGGTTAGCTGGTTGGCTGGTTGGCTGGCTGGCTGGCTGGCAAACCCAGCCAACCAGCCAGCCAGCCAGCCAATTCGTATGATGCTGGTTCGCTGACTGGTTGACGGGCCATTTGGCTGGTTGGCTGGCTGATTGGTTCGCTAAATCGCTGGCGGGTTGGCTTGCTGGTTGTTTGGTTGGTTGGATGGCCGGTGGCTGGCTGGCCAGTTGGTTGGCTGCCAAGCAGAAAAAGCAGACAGCCAACTGGCCAAACAGCCAACCAGCCAGCCAGCCAACAACCAGCAATTCAGCCGGCCAGCAAACCAGCCAGCCAACCAGCCTGCCGACCAGCCAACCAGCCAACCAACCAGCAGCCAATGCCAATTGAACAACTTGCCATGGTAAGTCGACTCTCATAAGACTCTGCCAACCGAGATCCAGCCAGAAGCCAATGACAACGATTTGGGCACTGTGGTAACCAACCAGCATGCAAGCAGGCTAGCCAACCAGACAACCAACCAGCCTGCCGAACAGAGGCCAACCAGAGGCAAACAGGAAGAAAGTCGTCAGATACCAGATTACCAAAGTTAACCACATGCCTGCCAGTCAGGCAGCAAGCCAATCGTCCAGCCAGCCAGCCAGCCAGCCAAACAGCCAGTCAACCAAGCCGACCAGCCAGCAAACAGGCCAGCCGTCCAGCCACCATCCCGCCAGCCAGCCAACGAACCAACCAGCCAGCCAACAAGCCAGCCCACTAACCAGCCATCCAACCAGCCAGCCCGCCAACCAGCCAGCCAGCCATCCAACCAACCAACAAGTCAGCCGGGCAGCAAGCGAATCAGCCAATCAACCAGCCAACCAGCCGAACATCCACTGGTTGGCCGATGGTTGGCTGATGATTGCAAGTTGGCCCGTTGCTGTGGTCTCTTACTGCAGATGGGCCACGTAGTCGCCGAGGTAATCGCATTGTTTGAATCCCATGAGGTCTGCAGAACGGTTCCGAACGGCCCCCCCCTCCCAGAGGCCCTCAAAAGCTCTGTGGCCCCCAATACACGTTACATGGCACTTTCGACGGAACACCCTAAACGGCATTACGAAATTCACGACGGGAGGCCACGCGGGGGGTGCCACGATAGGCTGCCGATTTCGGAGGCCGGGGCTCCCTCACTGGGCGTTGAAAGGCACCGTTGGCTCGACCCCGCACATGACCCCTGCTTTCCCGCGCCACCCTTCGCCCAGCAAGC